CAGGTGGGCACCGCTCTCCCCGGCCCTCCAAAGCCTGTCCTCCCCCAAATCTCAGGTGTGCTTGGTGGCGCCCTAGCGTCTCTTGCTTTAAGATAGTGAGAAATTAAAAAACATATATATACAAAAGGCCCGATAGTGTGGCCTCACCTAACTTGACCTCCTGTGTTTAGGTTCCCTTGACCCCCCCCCCACACTGCCTTGTCCCCCCGGAGTGACGCGTCCCAGGTCCAGAGGAGCCCCCGGGGCCACCTTCCCGTCCCTCCCACCTGTTCCGGATTCTAAACCTCCACGGCGTCCAGAGGCAGGTCGGGGTGACAGTCGGGCTGACGGGTCCGCCTCTCCCCGGGTTCTCAGTTTGGCACCAAGAGCGCTGAGCTCTGGGCCCGGAAGGTCCGAGGTCACTTATTTTAATGAAGCCCTGAGACTAAACAATAAGAGATGATTCCTTAACGAGGCCGGGCGCCCAGAGGGGTCACGTCAACGGTACCAAAATTGCCTTTGTATGCCGGTGGCTGCCCAGGACGGCGCCTGGCGTGCGTACGTGTTCCCGGTGGGGGCCGGGTCGACGATCTGGCCCGTGCAACTGCCGTGTTTTGGGCTGTGGGGTTCAGATTGGAGGGGGGGGTCGTTGTAAGCAAATTTTGTCCCTATAGGTTTTTTCTGTTTTTTTAACAAAGGTTTTCCTTTTTCTCCCTACCCGTCCCCCTTATTTTTTTCTGCAGGGCAAAGTTTAGTAGTTTTTTTTCCAGGATGAAATTTGAGTTTCAGTAGGCCCTCGCTAAGATTTACACTTTTTGATAGATACCCTATTTTTGAGAGTTAGAGAATGGGAAGTGAGAAGTACAGGGTTTCCTAATCTCCTTTCAAAATATGAGATTTGCTTATTTTCTTTCATAAGATGTAGATATATTGGAAGGAAGTTGTTATGGAAGTGATTTCCAACCTGGGTATAGTAACCTGCTCAAATTTTATATTATTTTTTTCTAATTGCAGAGGACTGCAGCAACCCCATGTCAAACCAGTGGGTGAACATTGGATTATTTCTATTTTTTCATTTTCATATGCAATATTGTAAAGGACATCCTTAGACATTTTCAAACGTCTGTAATGGTTTCTTCAGTTTATTAAATGGAAACCCTAGATCAAAGATTTCCAGTTTTACAAGTTTTTTTTTAGATTTATTTATTTTATACAAGTGCCGGGGTACAGGCCAGATGCGCAGGACAGTGAGAGGATTCACCAGAGACAGAGGGGGGAACAGAACAGGCAGACTGGGGAAATACATTGCGGGGAGCACAGTGCTCAACCTCCTGTGCCACCAGGGAAGGCCCTTACAAGCTTTTAAATACATATTATCAACCGCTCTCTCTACCAAAAATTTTGAAGAAATTCTGTGACCAACACAGAAGACTGTGATTAATTAGCAATAAAATTTTTTTAGATTTATTTTATTTACGCATACAAGAGCTGGGGTGTAGGCCAGAGATAGGGGGTGCAGGGAATTCACCAGACACAGAGTGTGAGAGAATTCACCAGACACAGAGTGGGGAGCAGAACAGGCAGATCTATTGAAATACACTGCTGAGGGGAGCAGTGTGGGAGACAGAAGAGGTCTGCTGCTCCATGTAGGTTAGCTGCTTGGCCAGGGGATGGAACTCGTGCTACTGTGGCTGTGGATAGCTTCATGGTACTGAGACTTAATCCCTTGCACCATCACGGAGGCCCAACGATAAAATATTTTAAAAAGTAAAAAGTGTAAGGCATTGTTTTATGCTTTACTAGTGAAGCTCACCATTAATGTTTAAATTATTTTTCTTTCTCAGTAGATTGTTTATCAATTTTTAATTGAGGTGTTCATCTTTCCATATTCATTTGTAAAACTCATTATATGAAAGATAAACCCTTGTGACCATTTCCATTTACCCAGAGCCAGGCAGAAATTCCTATCTTTTATTTAAAAAGTCCCTTAATTATGCAATCAGTTCTTATCTCACAGGAAACACTTTGAGCTATGAAATTAAGAAAGGTCCCATGTCGATCCTTCAGAGAACAAACTGTGTCCCACTTTTAGTGTCCTTGTAATGTCCTACATTTACTTTTCTCCCTTTTCATTTTTTTGTCCCATTCTTTCTTTCTGTCAAGTTAAACTCCTGCTACCTTGACTTTATGTTTAAAATGGCTTGAAGCACTTTCTGGAATATAATATGTAAATATCTTTACTGTTTATTAACAATACTTATTGTGCAAGAGGACTCCCCAGAGGCAGGCCTCAATTGGATGAAAATATCTTCTACAAGAAAGATTTTTTTTTAAGATTGATTTTTACTTCCTTATGCATATAAGAGCTGGGGTGTAGGCCAGAGGTGTGGAGGGTGAGAGGATTCACCAGAGAGCTGGGGAGCAAAACAGGCAGATTGACTGAAAACACTGCTGAGGGGAGCAGCAGGCAAGACAGAAGAGGTCTGCTGTGCCATGTGAGTCACCTCCCTGGCTGGGCATGGAACTCAGATGGAACTCAGTGGCTGGTGATAGCTTGATAGAGCTGAGACTTGAATCCCTGTGCCACCAAGGAGACCCCAAGTAGGATTTTGAAAGGCCTGAAGAAATAGTAAAATCATAGGGGTAGGGGAAAATGGAGATGAAATTGTATTCAAAGTGAGACTGATATAAGCTGATAGTTGATGAAAGTGGGAGATGGTGTAGGGGTGGGTGTTTCACGGTGTGTTTTCTTCATGTGTGCTTAAAGGTTTCCATAGCAAAGAGTTCAATAACAGAGGGGGAAAGTTGCTCACAATCTCATCAAAAGCATTTTTCTATTTGGGTACAGTTCTTTCCAGCTCTTTGTAAATATGTAGGTTGAAAAGTGTGAAATCTCTCTAGACTGAAATTTGTTTTTTCTCTTCCAATTCTTCTTGCGTTTGAAACCCTAAACAGGGCTTAACAATTACACTCCATACTATTATCCAGCTGTGTGTGCTCTGAATGAGGAATCTGGGAGAGATGAGTGTACCTCAAAAGGTTATTTTCAAATGCTCTGGCTAGATTTCAGACTTCAGATGCAAAAGCCAACAAATAAGCCAGATTTGAAAAAATTACATTTTCTCTCTGATATGGAAAAAGGGAATCTAACTGGTACAATAACATCAAATTCAAGTATTGTTTGCACAATTTGAAACCCAAGCTACTTTACTAACACCTTGGCAAAGCCAATTCCTTCTACAATAATCTACACCACCGCTGTTGGATTTTCTCATTTTCCTTCAAAGAGACCTATCCCAGGAGAAATTCTTGGATTAAAGAAGGCTCTAGGGCCTACTGATTTAATTACTAATCAAGTCAAAACTTACTTCAAGTGCCTTCTTAGCGGGTACCAGCCTCTCAGTCCCAAGAAAAAGGGTACCAAGAAATGTAGACCTGGGACTTCAGTTTCCTCTCAGACCACCACACTCCATGCTAAGGTCTCCTGTGACAGTGTTTCATTCATCCACAAGTCATCTTTGTTGCTCTGTACTTTATGTGATTTTTTTCCCCTTTTAATTCACTTTATTAACTCTTCCAGGAATAGATGCCATATTCTCTTCAAGACTCAAATTCAAGGTCTCCCAGGTGGCATAGGGGTAAGTATCAGAGCTATCATGCTATCGCCAGCAACTAAGGCCTTCCATCTGCAGGGAGGGAGCTAGTCCTCCTAGCACCACAGACCTCTCCTGTCTTGCCTGCTGCTCCCCTCAGCAGTGTATTTCAGTAGATCCACCTGTTCTCCCTACACTCCAGTTCTTGTATGCATAGATAAAAAGTAAATCTTTAAAAAAAAAAAAAAAACTCAAGTTCATTTAGGAGCCCAATCTTGATGAACTGCATATTGGTATGAAGGAATCAATTTTCATTTGTGAAGTGGCAGCTCACTATCATCAGTATGCCAAGAGCTCTTTGAGTTTTATTTTGCAGGGAGATGTAATTTCCATTTATGCTCTTTGTCAGGATCACAGATAACCAAAGGCATTAACAAATGGCTCTCATTTATCACATGATAGCCATTTGCTCTTAATGTTACACCTTTCAGTGGCAGGCAGTTACCACTATTCCCTCATTTTCTCAGCTGTACACTTTGGAGGGCATGTTTCCTTTTATTCTCTGAACCTGGCCCATCTGGACCTTGTCTACTCTTGGGAAGGGTGTTCTTCTCTCCCTCCCTGACCAGTGCAAACACTTCCCTTGGGGCAGGAAAGAACTAGAGAATGAGGAGTGGTCAAAGTTCTAGTGCAGGGGCCCTCCCTGGTGGTGCAAGGGATTAAGCACAGCACTGAGAAGCTAGCTGTAGCCTCTGCAGCGTGAGTTCGATCCCAGCCATGTATGCTGAAAGGGGCCCAAATCCTGATTCAGTGAATTCAAATGTTGCTTACCTGTCTGCCGATGAGTAAATTTATAATCACAGATTCATTCAAGCTCATCCAAATGGCAGGTTTTAAAAAAAAACTACAAATTAAAAATAATCTATGGCTAGGCCTCCATGGAGGCGCAGCGGTTGAGCACTGGGCTGCGAGGCTGCCCTTAGCCTCTGCAGCGCCAGTTCGATCCCCGGCCGCCCGTGAGGGTCCCACATGGTGTGCAGACCTCTCCTGCTGCGCCCACTGCTCCCCTCAGCAGTGTATAAAAAAAAAAAATAAATAATAATCTAGGCCTCATAATAGCCAATGACCAATAAATTACACCTACCTCTTCCACTGCATCCTCCCACTCACCCCACAGGTTATCATGATCATCTTATCTGTATTATGAAAGGGATATTATAAGGTGGCTTCTCCCGAGACATCACTCACTCAACATTGCTGGTAAGATTCACTCCTGAGTACATTTCCTCTCTAACTGCAGTAGCTTTGTTGAAGCCAAGGTTGCTTGGCTTGTCACTGCGCCAGCTGCTCTGCTGCTGATAAAAATGCATTAAGATGCTGCTCTTAGAGCACTAGAGGGAGGAAGAGCCTGCTGGGAGGAAGTAGGTGCAGTGTGAGACCCTCTCAGCCCAGTACTTCCGCAGTGAGGTCCAGGAGGCCATTCCAGAGGCACATTTCCTTCAGCAAGCAAGCTTCCGTATCCTTGGGTCCTTATTACTCTCTGCTGTGAAGGACCAAACTAAGTGAAAATGAAATGTGATTTTGACTGGGTGCCTTCACCCAGCTTCCCAGTTGTTGACGCTTGAGTAAACGAACTATTAAAGGTATCCCAGCTCAATGGACCTGACTGCAAGACTCCCAGTCTCTGCTCTGCTTTCCCAAGCAGAAAAGCATAACCTATGTGTATCGTGAGCAGGATACATGTGGTCATCATCAGCACGTGGTCACGTGCCATGCAGGTTTCTAGCCATGCACCTGGCACAAGTCATGTACCCTCTATGTACTTGAGTTTTTTTCATCTGTGAAACAAGGGCAATAATTCTCATTCTATAGGGGTGTTATGAGCTTTAACAAATCACTGTGCATCAAACACTGGTATATGTCTGTTAGTAATATTTTACATGTATGCTTAATATGCATGTTATATATTTACATCTAAGAATATTCAGCAAAGCTAATCTAGCTGCACTGAATCCCCTCTATTGGCCCAGTTGTATTCCCCTTGAATCTGGTGAATAAATGAATGAATTAGGACATGACATTACCAATTTATGATCTTCAGCCATTGAACCCCTATTAACAGGACTAAGTACAGACCCCCGGACCCTATATTCTGTGGACAGGATTCTGCAGAATGTCCAGAAGCAGAGAAAAATCCAAATCTCCAGGAAGGGAAATGTTCTCTCAGGCTGATATTTCCTCTTCAGCACATGGTGACCTTAGTACCCCAAAAGCTCAGGTTGGTGAGCCTGGGTTGGGAAGCAAGTTCTGGGCCCTCCAAACTATGCCAGCCATTGGAGCATTTCCCTACTGCCAGTTATAAAAAGGACTTGAGAGAACACTCTTAGAGAATTACAGGATTAGCCAAGACAGAACTATAGGCTGTAGAAATTTAACGTGTTCTCAGCACCATTAGAAGTAGGGGCATGATACTGAGAAAGTTTTACTGCTTACTTGAAAGTAAAATGCTGGACAGAGCAGGGTCTGGATCCAACAGGGAAATGAACACGACTGACCCATCTCCAACTCCATGCCCCCATCTGTGACCCCAACAGCCGATCATAGCAAGAGCAAGAAAGCAACAGCCAGGTAAACAACATCCATACTCACTTTATTTTCAAACAGAGGGGCATGTACCCAAAGAGAAGTAGGACGGAAAACCATCATGGGGGCTTGCTCAACGTGACCTGCCTTAGTCTTCTGCGCCAGAATGCCTGGGGACCCACAGGCCACGGGATGGTGCCGCTGCTGGGTGCTGCACGTGTTAAGAAGGTCAGTTCCTCCATCCCCCCAAGGAGATGGAGAAAAGGAGGCAAAAAAGTCAATGAATCCCTGGAATGCTGCCCCAAAACCCTTCCAGGGATGGTGCATGACTGACCGTCAGTCCACAGATATGAGTGGGAGAGGATCGAGGAACAATGGACAGTGTTAGGAAGAAGTGATCTTGGGTGACCTGCATCCAGCACCTGGACACACCTTTCATGAGAGTGAAGTGAGCAGACAGAGCCCTCGGGAAAGATACAGAGGCAAAGAGCACATTGATTAGAACATTATCTCATAACCAAGATGAGGTCACTTCCCGCCATTATTGTCAAATAACTGTAACTAATCAACACATACAGAGGCCTCTTTCATGGAATTAATAAAACTACAGCAGATTAGGAATCAGGATAGAGGTACTTTTCCCAGAAGGAAAATCTGGGATAGAGGGAGCCATGCTGACGGGACCTTGCAGCTCCTCTCTTGGTTCTGAAAAAGGAACCCTAGTCCAGAAATGTTGAGTATCCAGGATCATCATGGGGGTTAACCAGAGGAAGCCAGGCCGAGCCAATGCGTGAGCGTCTTGTGCGGCTCTCCAAATCCAAAGGTCGTCCATATTCTCTATCCTCTCCAGGAATGTATGACCAAAAAGTGGGAAACACTGGAGGTGGGCAGCTGTGGGTTGTTTTTTTTTTTTTATTTCTGGGCATCTTGATACTTTTCATTACATCTCACAATTTGCATGGGAAGGGAGAGGATGGTAGCGGACATGGACTTCCTGTCCCCACCGCAAGGGCACGGACGGTGGCAGGGACATCCGGCTGTGACGGACAGGAAGCAGCGAGGCAACAGGATGCCTTCTGCCTGGGGTGGGATTATGGCCAATAGCCCCTTTGGCCCGAGTTCACCTCCTCAAGGGGAGGTCTCCATGGAATGACCATGATTCCCAACATGGCCGGAGAAACCATCAATCCCGCTCATGGGACAGATGATCAGCGGAGCCGCGCTCTTCCCGCCCGAGTAACTCAGACTGAAGTAGGGCCGGACAGGCCCACAGAAGGTGGCGTGAGAGAAGGTAAAGGTGTGACACCGCTCTGTCACGTTGTAGAAGGAGACCTCGCCCGCATCATAGTCCAAGAAAATCCCCACCCGCTGGAGAGGGGTCCGCAGGGGGAGGGCTGTCATTGGGGAGGTCAGCGCCCAGTATTCCTTCCCATACCACAGGGACACTGCCCAGAATCCATTCTGGGGGGCCGAAGTTACTCCACCTTTTCTGCACACCGAGTCTTCGCAGACGCCTATGGTCCACTTGGCCTTATCTCCCACCTCCACCTCCCAGTAGTGTCTCCCAGCGATGAAGCATGGAGAGCCCAGGACACAGGGGAACAGGTTGAAGCGCTCGGGGTTGTCGGGCAGGTCCTGCTGGAGGTAACTGTAGCGAACTTGCCGCAGGTTGTCGGAGAGGATCAGGCTGGGGTAGGCCGTGTCTGGGTCCAGGGTCACGTCCACTGCAGAGACAGCAAGGAAGGGGTGTTAGCGGGGGCCAGGAGAGCTCACACTGGAGACCCAGCTTTTCTCCTATTTCCCTGAGAATAGACCAAAGGCTTCCCTCTCCAGGCTGCACCCACCTTCCGATGAAGTGCACCCTAAAGTTAACATTCCCAAAATTACTGTCTGGACTAGTTGGTGGTAACCCTTTTTAAAGCTGAGACAGCAGGGAGTCGTCTGAGTACTAAGATTTTACTCCATTTGCTTGCTTTCACAGAAGCCTAGGTGCCCCGTTCTGGCTTCAACAATCTGTCCATGACACTCTCCCAGTCTCTCCTCATGTTACAGGTATACCCCCTATCCCCAGCCAGACACTGAGCTCCCAGGGCAGGGTAGTGTCTTATTGCTCTCTGTCCCTTATACGTTAGTCACCATGGGACCCAAGCAAGGCATTCAATTCATACTTGCTGGAAGAACTGAATATGCATCACAACAATTGGGCACCAATGGGAGAACCACCTTATGTGATGCCCCTCTCTCCATGAAGACTCCACCTCACCTGACTGTGACTGTGGGAAGTGCACACTTCAGTTTTTGGTACCGCTGGGTCACAGATTTACCCAGTTTCTCTGAACCTTAGGTGAAGATGTTCATCAAGGAGAAGGGGGCATTTCAACTCCTGCCCCAAGAGACAGTGATGGAATGACACCATCTCCTAGATGCCCCCCAGCACACAAGAGTTGAACTCAACCACTCTCTTTAGAAGAAGACAGCTTTTGAAAAGGCAGGACAGATACCAGTGGCCTAGAAGCATTCAACCCTTGGGATTTGATGCTTCCTCACTATAATCCTTCTCTTGATTTCCTAATTCAAAGGTCCATACTTTAACTCTGAAGCATTGTAGGAGCAGAGATGCTATAAACACACAGAAATCACCAATTTTTTTTGTGGTGGTGGTTTATCATTTTTATATGTAACCTGAAGGATCCAAATTTAGGTGATTTCCAAAATCATTCACCATAGGGTAAGGTTCATAAGGATTTTTTACTCCTTCCCCTGGATGGTTTGATCACCTGTCACCTACCTGAGTATAATTGAGCCTCTCTCAATTCTGAAAGAACAAGGAAAAAAGAAGTTATGGAACTCATATGCATATTCCAGAAGATACCAAAATGAAGCAGCTGGGTCGGAATCATTATAGAGAGGCGGTCTCCACTGGGAACGCCTGTTGTCGGCCAGGCACCGATTCTTCATATGATGCATGAATCCACCATCGGGTCAAGAGTTTGAAGGGAAGAGGGCTGGGAGCGCTGGGTAGAAGCATAATCACAGGCTTGTCACTGGGCGCATATTGGGTGAAATCAAGATAGAGGGAGGACTCCACCCTTCAGGGGGCCAGCTGGCTCTGCAGGGGGCAACAGATCCCAAGCCCATACCACGGACAGCTCTTTGCTCTTCTAAGCCACCTCTGTCCTAGGCCTGGGTGGCAGAGGAGACACCCAACTGGGACAAGTAAGACCATTCACTGAAAAGGCACTGTACAGCTGGCAAAGCATCTACACCACAGACAGGTTCTTAGCGAAACTTTCTGTGTCCCTAACTGCCAAAAAAGCCTGTCTCTGGAAAGATCCAAAGCAAATAAGGATCTGGCTAGATAACCCCTAAATCATTGGAGATTATGGAGATCCGTAATTTGTAATAAGCAGGAAAAGGGATTCAGAATCTACCAGATAGCCTGGGAAGTGTACACTTAATATGGAGCCAACCTCTAACTGAATGTAGCACACAAGCAGGACATTATATCTTGAGAAGAGCTTTCCCTAAGTACCTACAATACTTTAACAAACATAAAATTCGGTTTATTCTGTGTCACATTCCAGTTTTTAGACCTTAGACATGGTAACTAATTTAATTAATACAACATTGTGAGGTTAGAACTGCACTTTGCCTCATTTATGGAAGAGGATGTTACAGAGCAGAATCCAAAGGAGCAGAGCTGGGCCCGGAACCCCCTGTGGAGCGCGTGGGTTGGGGGGCCTGCCAAGTTCCTCCTGACCTGGTTGGCACACAAGCCAACCAGAAGGGTCAGTCAATTGTTAAATATAAATATTTGTTCAAATGAAACCTACTAGAATAGGCAGTTCCTGCCTATTCTCTTTCCCAAGGAGGAGGAGGAAAAATCAAAAATGATCAAACTCATTCTGGGTTAACAGCAAAGAGTTATTTTTCTCCTTCATTGTAGATGAGACGTGACTGGATGGAGTTAAGAGACTTCAAACTGAAACATGAGGCTACTGAGAAAAGGAACAAAGCAGAAGCAAGCTATAAAATCCCAGGTAAGCCTGGCCAGTGGGGTCACCCCTTTTGTCTTTCCCCCTACTTTTTTTTTTTTTTTTTTAAAGATTTGTTTTTATTTATTTATACAAGCACTGGGTACAGTCAGAAGCGCGGGAGGGTGAGAGAATTCACCAGAGCCAGAGTGGGGAGCAGAGCAGGCAGAAGGACCAAGGTACACTGCTGAGGGGAGCAGTGGGCGGCAGGAGAGGTCGGCGCGCCATGTGGGACCCTTCTCCGGTGGCCGGGGAGCAGCCGGGGATCGAACCAGCGCTGCAGAGGCCGCGGGCAGCTTCACAACCCAGCGCTCAACCGCTGCGCCACCGGGGAGGCCCTCCCCCTACTTTTAATGAGATGTTCATCTTCCCAGAAATGTTCAACATCAAAAGCCCATTAAATAAAAAATTTTTTTTTACCTTGGATTTTCTCCATATCCGACTGCATTTTTTCTAAGAGGAGAGAAAAAGATATTCAATTTGTACCCCACTACCCAGCAGAACTCACCCTTGCAGGCAGCACAGATATCAGAGCACCAACCTGCACCCCTGTGGGCCTGCTCTCACATTACCTGTGAACTGCTTCAGACTCTCAGTCAAGAACAGGCATTTTTGGGCAAAAATGTGGATTTTTTCTTGCAGATCTGGAGGTGTGATCCAAGGTTCAGGGATCCTAATCCTTTCAGCTCTACGTTAAAAAAAAAAAGGGAGGTGGGGAGTGAATCACAAGTCACTAGATTCCATGACAGTCCTTGTGTCTGGGTGGGCAGCGACCCACAATCTTCCGGTTTTCAAACACGGTGAGAATGACAGCTTCGGACAGACAGGCACTCTGGACAATATCCACTTAGCCACCCTCTAAAGGGGTCCAAGGCACGACTGATTGCTAATTGCCTACCCAGTATCACTTCTCCCATCTTCCATATTTTACTGGGCTCATGGGTGAGGGATCTAGATGTCACACAGGACTGCCTTCTGTTCAGGGACAGTTAAGAAACCCCTTTTGGCAGCTTGAGAATTCTGCCTATAGAGGAATGTGCTATGACTTATCTCCTCCCTGCTGGCTGGCATTCTAGCAGAGCAGTCAGGACTGCCAGCATGAGGGCCCTAACTGGTAGACAAGTGAATGGAAAGAAAGCTGAGTGGCTGATGGTCCCATCACACCAGCTCTGACTATGTATGCGTAAATTTCTTACCTGGTGACAATTTTTTTAATTATGTCTAAGTTTTAAACCAGTGAAATTTTGGGTTTCCCATTTCAAATAACCAAACCTAAACCTTAATGTCATAACGGGCTAGTGTCTCAGGGATCTACCTCCTTAGTCATCCCCAGAACTATCTACTCCTCCCCGACACTAGGCTGGCCCCAAAAAGTAACAGGTAAAGACAGTACTTTCTGAGGTCATCTGCCTGGAACTGTACAACCTCTAGTCTCTACCTCAAGAATCTCAATTCTGTCAACATGATTTTCTCCACATAGTCCTTTCAGTCAACCTGCCCCAGAAGGCCAGGAGGCCAGGAGACCAGTCCACCTCCTCAAAAGGATCCACTTCTTGAAGCTACATTTTCTTCTGGAGGGATTTTACCCACCAGGATTTTAATCAGCCTCAAAGCTCAGCTCCCTCAAAGTCAGTCTCCGCCCCTTACAGGCTCTCTTGCACCAGATGTGATGTTCCAAGGCCTCTTCCACTGCCCATGCTCTCCACCCTGCAAACATAGCTCGGCCTTTCTGTCTTGCCCACTCCAAGCTCACTCTGCTCATTCGTGCCCCAACCCCCAGGGAGTGCTTCCTCACTTTCCTCCTGATGGAACAGGAGAATTGGGGAGCAACAACCACAAAGGACCTTCGTACTTTGCCCAGATCCCTGTAAATCTCCACCCCTCATGGAATTGTCCTCATAAACCAGCATCACCCTCCCCGCTGACCCTCCACGCCACCCTCTCACCTCAACTTGTGAGTAGTGCCTCAGTGGTACTGAGAAGAACTTCCATCTACCTAGTTCTGTGTACATTAGTGACTTGACTCAAGGACAGGCAGATACGTGTGGTCTAGTACAGTGTCCACCTCAGGTCTGGGTTCTTTTCAGGATTTATTAAGGGCCAGGGAATTGATCTTCCTGTACTTGATTTAACACTGGAGAGAGAGAAAACTGTACCTGCTCAGTGTGTCCCCGATGTCCTACAAGAGAAAGGAAAAGGAAAACCATGAGAAGTCATTCATAACTGCAGTTTGTTTGCTGAAAACCCAACCACAGGCCGGCCTCCTGGCAGATACTGAGAGAAATGGAGCAGAATTCAAAGTCGAAGAACTAAAAAATCTGGAAGAGGAGACTGGGGGGCACGCTATTTGCTACACCAGCATTTCTGTGTCCTCCGCACCCACCGTCGTGATCAAGGACCTCATGATTCCAGACTAACTTAAGCAATCCTCCACAGACAGTCATCTACCCACTCAGCTTGCTTTGACTTTTAACTGTGAAATAATTTCAAACACACAGAAAACCCACTAGAACAAAAAGCTCCTATATACTGTTTTCCTAGACTTGCTAGATTATTATAAACGTTTATCTTTAGGACCGTGTGAGACATCATTGTTTACATCATACCCCTTTACACTCCCTATTTCCAAAGAAGAAACATAAAACTTTCTTATCTAACTATATACAATTATCAAACTCTGGAAATTGAACGTGGATACAACACATTTATCTAACATGCGCCTGTATTCTAACCTGACTAATGGTCTTAATAACCTTCCTTATAGCTACTGCCCTCCCTGCTCAGGTAATCCAGGGTCAGCCATTGCATTTATCTAGCGTGGCATGTGTGTCTAATCTGGAACAGTTCCTTAATGTTGATTTCTCTTTGTGACACTGAATTTGACGCAGTAACAGGCTGTTTTACAGGACATCCCCCATTTGTGTTTGTCAGACATTCACCAGGGTTAAGTTCAGATTGTACCATCTTTAATTAGTGCATTTTGTATCTTTCTGAAGGTACATGGTATCACCTTGCCCCTTATAGCTGATAATGATTTTGATCACTGTATGGTACTATTTTTTCCTCTTGGAATTAAGTCATCTATGAATCTTTGAAATTATGTTAACAATGTAATTCCTAGCAAACTTCCCCCCCCCTTAGATTTGGTATCCACCATTAAATGTCAAAATTCTGTCTATATTATGTAGTTGGCTTTCTACTGGAAGGGTTTTTCCTTATTATTATTAAAGACTATTACATTCTTGTTTTCTTCATTGGATTATAACCCACCACTGTTCTTATTTGGTGCTCAAATGTCTAAGACTTGGCAAGAGTCTCTGTCACTCTCCTATTCATTCCATTCCCATTCTCTCCTCCATATTATTCTCTGGTTTGTTCTTCCAGTGTTTCCTTTGTTAAAATAAGCAGACACATGTACTATCCAATTCTCTTCTTTCACATGCATAAGCTAGCATACTCTGTATTTTGCACTTTGATATTTTTCTCTCAACAATATACTGTTTCCTAGAACTGATTCTCAATCAGTTCACAGATATCTACCATCTTCCTTTTGGCAGCTGCATAGTACTGGCATGCACGCGTGCGTGCGTGCGTGCGTGTTTAACATAACCAATCGTCTAGGTTGGGCAGCTGTTTTCAATATTTTCTAATTACAACGTGACAGCAAGTGACCTTGTCCATATGCCTTTTTATACACGTTTTCAAGGTATATCTTCAAGATAAATTTCTAGGAGGATTCTTGGTCAAATTCTACCTGTATATAGTTTTGTTAAATTCTGTCAACACAATCTGCATTGTCATCAGCATATGAGTGTGTCTCCCTCATCTTTAAGAAAAATTTGTTATTCTAAAGGGTAAGAAGGGGTATCTTAGTCTGGTTTTAATTTCCCTTATTAAGAGTACAATTGAACATCTCTTCACATATTCAAGGGTCTAATTATTATTTCTTTCGGAACTTGCCATTCATATCTTTTGCTCATTTTCCTATAGAATTTTGATCTTTCATCCTTCTCCCCCTCAGTTTCTAGAGCCATCAATTCTGTATGTGATGTTTTAGTATCTACTAGAACCCAGTCCCCAACCCATAGCTCTTCTTTCTCAGTGCTTCCTTGCTTTTTTATGTATTTATTCTTTCTTAAATTTACTATGAAAAAAGTGACAATTTTGATGGACAATGCTGAGATATCTTACCCAAGAGCAAGGATGTCTTTTTATTAGCTTGAGTTTGTTTTGAGCCTATGAGGATTGTTTTATAATGTTCTCCATGCAGGTTTTAAAAGTTTATTCTTGGGCCTACCCTGGTGAGGCAGGCGGTTGATCGCCACACTGTGAAGCTGTCCGCAGCCTCTGCAGCGCTGGTTCGATCCCGGCCAGCTGGCGAGAGTCCCACATGGTGCAACAGACCTCTCCTGTCTCGCTCGCTGCTCCCCTCAGCAATGTATTTTGTCAGTCTGCCTGTTCTGTTCCCCGCTCTGTCTCTGGTGAATCCTCTCACCCTCCTGCGCAACTGGCCTGTACGCAGGTTCTTGTATAAATCAATCAATCAATCAATCAATCAATCTATAAAAAAAAAGTTTATTGCCAAGTATTTTTTTCCCCAAGTATTTTTTTTTAAAGATTTATTTATTTGTTTATACAAGCACTGGGTACAGTCAGAAGCGTGGGAGGGTGAGAGAATTCTCCAGAGCCAGATCAGGGAGCAGAACAGGCAGACTGACGAAATACACTGCTGAGGGGAGCAGCGGGCACAGCAGGAGAGGTCTGAGCGCCATGTGGGACCCTTGCCGGCCAGCTGGGGGTCGAACCAGTGCTGCAGAGGCTGCGGGCACCTTTGCAGCCCAGCGCTCAACCGCTGTGCCACCGGGGAGGCCCTATTCCCAAGTATTTTATCTTGTTTTTTTTTTTTTTTCAAATTAGAAATGGGGTTTTCTCTTTTGATATGTCTTCTAGTGGCTGTTCTCTGTGCCCACTGCTGATTTCTGTCTGTTAATTTTATTTCTTGCTGCCTTGCTGAATTCTGTAGTTAGTACTATCACTGGTTCTTTAATTTACAATTATCTATCATGTCATCTCCAAGTAAGAGTTTCTTTTCTAATTCTTGCTTGTAATTTTTTCTCTGATCTAAGCAAATTAAATTTCCAGTTAAAACCTACAAACAAAAACAAACAAAAACCCTCCAGTACGATGCTAATAAAAGTAGACTCCAGCCCCTATGAAAAATAGTACAGAGGTTCCTCAGAATATTAAAAACAGACCATATGACCCATCAAGTCCACTCCCAGGTATTGATCTGAAGAATGCAAAAACACCAGGTTAAAGGGACAGATGCATGCCAGTGTTCATTACAGTACTATTTAGTATAGCCAAGTGTTATGAAAACCTCAATGCCCATCAAAAAAGCAGTGGATTAAGATGTGGTCTATATACACTATGGAATACTACTCAGCCATAAAAAAGATAAACTTGCCATTTTTGACAATATGTATGGAACTGGAGGGGGTTATGCTAAGTGAAATATGTCACAAGGAAAAAGACAAATACTGGATGATTTCACTCATGTGGAATATAGAGAAACAAAATAACGGAACTGACAAAAACAGACCAAAAGAAACCTCTAGAAGTATTACTAGGGAGGAAGAATCTGAGTGCTTTGGTGGGTGTGGTGATAGGCATCTGAGGAGGTATAAACCTATCTGTCTAAATCATACAGCGTTGTAAACCAGTGTGACCTCCATAAAAGCATATAAACATCCATACCAATAAACAACAGTGAGCATCATGCTTTATTCCTGACCTCGGTGGGAACATGGCTTGAATTTCCCTGTTAAGGAAGTTTCAGCTTGTTTTTCCACTGACTTCAACCATCACCACTCTTTGTTTGGGATCAAAATCCTCTCCCCTTTGAAGCTGACAACCTCTTTCTTTCTCCACTTTTCTTATCATATAGATTCAATGATGCACAGTCTACCTATTCAAAAATAATCTCACAAATACCTTCTACCTTAAAAAAAGTATTTTAAAGCCTCCAGTGCTGGCTTTAGCAGCACAGATGTATTTTCAAATTGGAACCAGGCAGAGACACTCTCACATGCACACACAATGGACACATTTGTTAAGTGGGTCATAGTTTTAAAGTCACATATAAAGTGTTTTATATTTTTAAAGTTCACAGCAGCACTACGCACAATAGCCAAAAGGTGAAAACAAACCCTCACCAGCTGATGAAAGTATAATCAAGTGATGTGTACAAGGCAATACTCTGTCCTATAAACAGAACTGAAATATACATCATAGAAGAAACTTGAACAAAGTATCCTAAGTAGAGAAGCCAGATGGAAGAGACTGATGACCCCACTTAGCTCACATCCAGAATAGGGGAGCCCACAGAGACACACAGATGAGTGGTTGCAGTGGGTAGAAGGAATGAAGGGGCTCTTTAACAGTACAGGGTTTTCTTTTGAGGTGACGCTCGGAGATGGATCACTGAGTTTAGAGCGGACACAAAGCCATCCTGTGAAATGGGTGAGAGCTGAACTCTGATACTAATCACATGAAAATGAAACATAAAACAAGTTCATCTCGCAGAGCCCCCATCCTGCATGGGCCCCACCAGCCGCCTGCCCTGTGACTACACCAGAGCAGACGAGAAAGTCATAAAACAGCCCACCGGCCCAGGATAACCGATGTTCACGTAACAGTCTTCCTCTGTCTCACACTAGTCAGAGATGGCACAGCCTGAATTTGACGAGAGGAATAACTGACAACCACAAGCAGAATATCTGAAAAACATAAATTAGTTACTTTCTAAAAAATAATTAGCCTGCATGGAACCAAGGTCAATATCATGAAAGACAAATCTACACCAAGGAATGGTTCCCCTTTCAACAGGTCATTATTAATTAACATTATTAGGACAGTTGGTTCAATTATGTCATGGGCAGTGGGTGAGATAAATGTATCCATGTTCAATTTCTTGCATTTGATAACTGTCCTTTAGTTATAAGAAAACATTCTTGATCTTAAGATACACACACCCAAGTCTAAAGTGGTAGAATACAAGCAGCGATCTCCTGAATGATCCTGAAGATAACTATGCTTATAATAACCTGGCAAGCCTGGGGAAAGAGTGTACAGGAGCTCTTTGTTCTAGCAGCTTTTCTGTGTATTGCAAGTCATTTCACAGTTGAAAATCAAGGACAACAAGCTGGCCAGGTAGGTAACTGCAACCATGGTCCAGGGAAAGATGCCTGAGTTAGTGAATCTGAAATCACGAGGTTCTTTCCCATGTTTTTCAAAGCCCCTATTTCCCATGTTTTTCAACCCCCCCCTTCATAGCAACAAAATGATCCAGCTTTTCAACTTCAAGAGTATAAAGTCTTGGGTTTCTGCTACCAAACTTGACAACCTGCCTCTACCTCCTGCCCCTCATCTTCCTTCTCCCAGACCATGCATGTCTTGCCAACACATGGGTCAGACCCCACATGATGTAATGAATAATTGAGGTGAAAGAGGCTCAGAGAGCGCATCAGACCACCTGTGCAGGACAGGCCCTTCGCCTTTCTGCAACTGACTTATCTGAGACGTGCACCCACGGCCTCCAGCATACATGCTTTCTCCCTGACGTGCCCCACAGAGCTCAGCGAGTCAAAGACAAAGCAGAGTGGCAAAGATGGGAGGCTTCCTGGCAGCTGCGCTGGGCTTACCTGCAGGAGCTCCCTGGTGGGCTGCTGCTGCTTCTCCTCCAGCTGGGCAATGAGGCTGCTGAGGTGGGAGATGTTGCAGGAGAACTGGGTGATGGCACCATTGATGCTGTTGTAGATGGCCAGGTCCAGCTCTTCCAGGCGTGCCAGGAGCCGATACTCATGCTCCTTCAAGGAGTGGTAGAGCTGCTCGAACTCCCAAACGATCTTCTCCCGCTCCATCTGCGTCAGGCTCTGAGGATGACAGGGAAGGGCAGTGAAGAGAGGAGAGACTCACTCTAGGCCCCTTTGCATTTCTCCCCAGCTCTGCACCCCCAGGCCCCATCACTGGGTTCCAGGACAAAACACGTGTGACTTGTTCACTGACTCGCTTTTCCCAGTCTACACTGAATGGATATATTCCGATAGAGAACTGAATTGCCCCAGTGATAACCGAGACACAGCCCTCTGCCCTCAAGGACAAGCGTGTTATGGGAGTCAGGTGCACATGACACATGTCACCAGGGTGGACAAGCAAAGAGCATGGGCGCCCGTGGTGGGAGAGGTCAGTGGAGCCTTCCCTGGAACAAAGTCCATGCCTCCCGCAGGATGAACGGAAGTTCACTGCGTGGCCTCCAGGTAGAAGAAATGAGGTGGGCAAAGGGGGAGCAGGGAGAGAAGGCCATGGCGAAGCCCACGATGCTGAGGGAAGAGGCCAGAAAGGGAAGACAAGAGCAGAGCGCACTTGCCTGGCAGGCTGAGGCAAGGACTTTAATGCAACAGGGAGCCAGGAAAGATAAGCAGGAAAGTGACATGATCAGATGAGCTGGGTGGAAGATGGCCTGGAGAACTCAAGCAGTTTCTACAATCCATGCACGATAACCCTGACCAGTCCCCTGAGGCCCCTTACCTGTGGCCTTCAAGGCTGTTTGGCAACACCCTATCTCACTGGCTTTGCAAACGGGTTCCTCTTGGCACAAACTTGTTGGCCAAAGCTTGTCTGCCCTTCCTTCTCCAGCCCACCTCCCAATGTTAAAGTCTGACTCTAAACCAAAAGTCAGCAAATTCTATTCGTTTAGTTCCTAGCAGTAAAGTTTTATGGGTCATCACCACACCCTTTCATTTGCTTATATCTTGGCTGTCTCTGAGCAAAACTGTGGCAGAGATTATAAGGCCCACCGAGTTAAGAATATTCACTATCTGATCCTTTACAAAGACGTTTGCTAACACCTGTTTTAAACCCGTTTAAACTCCTTCCCCACTAGCCACCCTTCCTATGCACTCCCCATGCAAATTGGTGATGCACACACACCTTTGTTCATAAATACTTTTCATAAGCTCACAGTTGTCCTCAGTTGGAGAAGACTTAAGACATAACCCATGCAGTATGATCTTAGAAATTAAAAATTAAAGCTGAAAGACACCTTAAATATCAACTAGTTCAGTGCTTCTCCAAGAGCGTGCTATCAGCACCTGGTAGGGACGCTGCTGCCTGAATGGGGCTGTCTTTTGCATGTAGAACATACAGCACCCTGGCCACTATCCTCATCCACTCAAGTGCCAGTCAAGTGCCAACACAAGAAACAGCCACAAAAGACTGGGGAAAAGGAGAGCGCAGTATTAGTCACGAGAGAGAACTACAAGCCTAGTCCAGTCTACCCATTTCACAGATGAGGACACTGAGCCCAGAGAGACTGCATTACTCTCTCCATCTGTAATTGGCTCGTGTCAAAGCCAAGAGGTATGTTCAGATGCCCTTCTGTGACAATCCTCCCCACCCAGGAGGACACTGGTGTCCATCGTGACTTCAGTACACCCACTTGAGAAGACCCTCCAGTGAGCAGGGGAGCTGAGGTTTGAACTGATTACGTGGGGAACAAGTGGTAGGACCTGAGGCCATCATGGGAACAAGTTTCCCATCCATAAGGTCTTTATTACAGCCCATCCAGCCCTGACAAAATCTCTCATAAGAAAATGCTTGTCAATACTAGTCTAAGAGTTTGCTCTTCAGTTGTAAATACCTCTAATGGGTGCAGACTTGTAGTGTTTATTATCCAAAAAAATGCTCCTAGGTGGTAGATAAGTATATAAGTCTCAGTATCCATTGGCTTTTCCCACTGGGTTTCAAAACAAAACCTGCAAATACCCCAACCACCAATTGGCAGAACAGAATCAAAGCATTGTCAAGAAATGGACACTCCAGCTAAGTGATAGTGGGGCTCACGCAGCCCCCCTCAGCATCTGAAGATACTAAAGGAAGCTGTGCTCAAGAATTTCACTTCTCTCAGCTGTCACAGGCCAGCCTGACCTGCACAGAGCAGACAGGTCAAACCTCAACAGGTCCCATCTCCAGGGGTTCCAATCTAGGCTCTCCTGCCCTTTCCCCCCAAATATGGGAAGCCCTTGCTTCTGCAGCTGAGTTCCCAACTGCAACAAGGGAAGTTTCACCTGCACTCTCAGAAGTTCTGGGCAGCCTAGGTGGCTGAAGTTAACATCAGGCTCCCCCAAAGCCCATCAACAGCAGCAGCAACACTGGCTGTGGCCCTTACCAGGAGTTCAGCTCTTGCCTGCTCCCCTTGTGCCCGACGCCTCTTCTTTAAGTCTTTCACTCTTTTCAGGTGGTCCAGCTGGTTCTGGATTTGCTCCTGAGAATGGCAAAAAGAGTCGGGCAGCTCAAGATCGGGTGGCCCTTAGCATCCGCAGGGCTATTTTGCTTCTCATAGCCAACCCACCTTCTGACCACCAGCCCTCACCAAAGCACTTGAAAAGGAAGTCACTGCCCCTCTCCTTTGTTTGTGTATCTCCAAGGGTGACTGCTGCTTAAAGTTAAATCGGAGTTCTTCTTAGAGGCATACAGTAAAAAGGCCTTCACCTGGCTTATTTTTCTCAAGTGTGACATGGGGAACATCACCGTCCCAAACTACTGGTTACCGCCAACGTCATACATGTGAATGCACCATAACCGTTAAGGGATGAGTTATGCACGAATGTACTCACATTTCAACATGCACATAACTGTGTGTATTCCTGCAGCCCTCACAGAGCCAACACACAGGGGCGGGCACTCCGGGAACGCTGTGTTACAACCGTTTTACACTTAATACTTTGTGTCCTTGTTACTGTTTCTCAGCTGCTCTGTTCGTTCGACAGTTCCCCATGGGCTCCGCTCGTCATTTTATTTTTTACTCTTCCAAATAACAGCTTCGAGGCGTCTCGGCGTGGCTAAGCGACACGCTCCAGCGGGAAAGAGCTCGGTTCGGTTCGTGGAGCTTTTCTAGAACAGGACGCAGCACAGGCCGTGCCGGGCCACGCTTAGCCTACGTGGTGGGCAGCAGCCGGGGGCGTCGGCCGCCGGCGACGTCGGGGGGTGTCTGGTCAGAGCGCATCTCGGAGCCCCGGGAGGATGAGCGTCTCGGAGCTGGTCGCGGCGCGCGCGGCCTCACGCACATCTCCGATGCGGTCAAGGAGGCGCTCCCAGGCCCGTCCTTACGGATCGTGCGCCCGCGGACCGGTCACCAGAGGAGAGTGAGAGTGGGGTGAGGAGACTTCGGACTTCCTCACCAGCCACAGGTTCTCCTCCCCACTGTGAGTGCCGCGGCTCGGGAGCGGACAGAGAGGAAATGACGGCTGAGCGCCACACGTCCGGCTCAGCCATTTTCTAGGCGGAAAAAAGGCAGCCCCTTTGGCTCTCGCCTGCCTTTGTCCGCGCGCGCCCCCCGCCCCCCGGCGCGGCCCTCACCTTGAAGCCCTCCACCGCCTCCTCGAGCGGCAGCACGCTGTGGCCGCGGTGCTCGCGCGAGCGGTCGCACACCACGCAGATGGGCATCTGGTCCTCCTCGCAGTACAGCTTCAGGGGCTCGCGGTGCTTCTCGCACACGCCCATCTCGCCCCCCGGGCCCGACGGCCGCTCGGTGCGCAGCTGCTTCACCAGCTGGGTCACGTTGGCCAGGTGCCGGTTGGGCCGCATGTGCCGCTGCGGGAAGGTCTCCCGGCACTGCGGGCACGACACGTTGGTCTCGGCCGCACCCCAGCAGCGCGCGAGGCAGGCGCAACAGATGTTGTGGCCGCAGTCGAGCATCATGGGCTCGGCGAAGTACTGCAGGCACACGGGGCAGGTGGTCTCCTGCTGCAGGCACTCGGCCACGCTCCCGGAGGCCATGGCGCGGGCCCGCGGGGGCGCACGAGCATGGGCCCCGGCGCCCGGCCCTGCGCGCAGCCCGACTCGACCGCGCGCCCGCCGCTCCGCCGCCTCGGGGCGGCGCGGGGCGGCGAGCCGGGCGGACGGAGGGCGGCGCCTCCCGGGCCCCGCTCTCAGGCGCGCCCGCGCGCGGGCCCCTCGCACAGGCCGGGCCGTTCCCGGCGCCGCAGCTCCCGGCCGAGCGATCGCGGGGACGCGGCGGCCCCACCCGGCCCGGCGGCTCCGCGAGGGGGCCGCGAAGGGGGCGCCGCGGGGCCGGCTCGCGGAGCCGGGCGCTCGGGGCGCGCGAGACAACGTGGCCGCGTCCGAGCGGATCCCGGCCGCCGCGGAGACCCCACCCCGGCGCGAGCGGAAGGGGCGGCCCGGGGGCGGGGCCTGGCGCGCGCCGCCCGCCGTCGTGGCCGCGGGACCCGGGCGTCTCCGGCGGGAGAGCGGCGCGTCCGGCCACCGGCCGCGGGAGGCGCGGCGCGACCCCCGGCCGCGGGGACGGGCCCGAGCGGGCGGACGTGCCCGCGGGGCGCGGTGGGGAGGCGCCGCCCCTCCCGGCACGCTCCTGCCCCCCGCCGAGCGGCGGCGGCCCGGGGCCTGCACCCCAACTCTTTTGTTGGGTTTCCCGGCGGGTGCCGAGGCCTCCGCTCGGGCGAGAGAAAGCTGGCTTTGTGCTGGGAGGGGGAGCGCAGACCTCTGGCCGGGGAGGCCGGAGGGATGGGCGATCCGGCTCCGAGGCGCTGTATCGCGCCGTCCCGCTGACCGGCGATTCGTTTCGAAAAAGAAAGGCTCGGTTATCAGACAGCCGCGTTACTGCGGGACGAAAACAGACGCAGACAGGCCCCGTCCTGCTCCTTCCTCTCTGAGCCCAACCTAGGGGCTCTCCCTTTCGCAGCCTCAGCTTCCCCTCTGGAGAAATGCGGGTGATCATGATCCCCCAGCAAATAGGAGGGTTTCATTACATCTTTTCCCTTTTTGAGCCATAGGACGTTCCTTCATTAAAATAATACAACGCCCCCTGCCTAACAGTCTTGTCTGGGGTCAGACCTGGGGAGATGGTCCTGAGGTGACTTAGAGATTGACAAATCGCTCGTGTTGCCCCTCATCCCAGCCTTGGCATTTCCTGGTTTTCCTTGCTGTTTTCTCAGTGCAGCCCTTGAATTTGAACCCTGCTTCAGGTCCCTGACTTTAGAGGTTCCCACTCTGGTATCCCCTCCCACGGAGCAACAAGGCTGAAAAACAAAATAAATGGGTTTGCCAACTCTAAGCTCATATCCCCTTCTGAACAGCAGTCTGAGTCTGTGAAATTCCAGTCCCAAACAGCCCTCAGTCCTCTTCCAGAAAAATGTACAGTTGTACTTGGGTTAGGCCACAACATAGTCTTTTAACCTTTGCCCTTCCTCCTTTTCCCAGCCTGGAATGGACACACCACGGTAGGAGCCACGGCGGCTGCCCTGGGTCCTGAGGCTAGCTTGAAAACAGAAGTCAGCACGCAGATGGCTTAGCAAAAGGTAAAAGGCGGAAGAAATGTAGGTCCTTATTCATTGCAGAATACCTGCATCCAAACTATACAGATGAGAGACACTAAAGACACAATCTTGCTTAAGGTGCTGATTTGAATTTTCTGCATATTAAGCAAAAACTAACCCAAATTGATCTAATTATATTAACAAAATGTTTTATTTGTAAGTTCCCACCTACCCTCTCTACTCAACCCTATCTGCCCTAAGGCTGCCAGTGAACTGCTAGTATTGACCAAATCCACAAGACAGTTTTCAAGCTTCACCTTAGTATTTCCAAGGCATTTGACACTGTTGGCTGGTCCCACCTTGGAAACTTGTTCCAGGCAGCAGATTGAATGGGTTCTAATGAAAACCTAAGATATTTCTGCTTCTTCTATCTCCTTTGATATGCCTTTACCAAGTGATGTTAAAGTTAACTGGGAAAATAATAATAAAGTATAGTCAAGAAAAACAAGACTACAAGAATTAATACACAGACAAATCAATGGGACAGCATAGGAACTGAGAAGTAGGCCCAAATGTGAGTAAGAATTCAGTAAAAGACGAAGGAGCAATTGCAGTTTGGTGCTGAACCTTCAAAAAATGATCTTGGAACAATTAGCTAGCTTTGAGGGGAAGGGAGAGATTCCATCTCACTTCTTCCACCAGATCAGTAAAACATTTAAAGTAAACAATAAATCCATAAAAGCTCTAGAAAAAAGTAATATAAAAATCTTGTTGTCTGGGGCCTCCCCGGTGGCGCAGCGGTTGAGCGCTGGGTTGCGAAGCTGCCCGCAGCCTCTGCAGCACCGGTTCGATCCCCGGCTGCTCCTCGGCCACCGGAGGAGGGTCCCACATGGCACGCAGACCTGTCCTGCCACCCGCTGCTCCCCTCAGCAGTGTACTTTGGTCCTTCTGCCTGTTCTGCCCCCTGCTCTGACTCTGGTGAATTCTCTCACCCTCCCGCGATTCTGACTGTACCCAGTGATTGTATAAATAAATAAATAAATCTTTAAAAAAAAAAAAAAATCTTGTTGTCTGGAAGATCTTTCTAAATGTAGCCCCAAACCCAGAAGGCACAAATGGATACATTTGACTTAATTAAAATTAAAATTTAAATCACTTATTTATAGAAAGTACCTTGGAACAATCTAATGATAAAGAAATTGGAGAAGGTATTTTTTTAAAAGATTTATTTATTTATGCATACGAGAACTGGGGTACAGGCCAGAGGTATGGGGGGTGAGAAGACAGAGACAGAGTGGGGAGCAGAACAGGCGGATCAACTGAAATACACTGCTGAGGGGAGCAGCTGGGAGACAGGGGAGGTCTGCTGCACCAAGTGGGTAGCTCCTGGCTGGGGTTCAAACTCATGCTGCAGAGGTGCAGATAGCTTCATAGTGCTGTGTCTTAACCTCTTGCGCTACCAGGGAGGCCCTGGTGAAGTTATTTTTAGCAAATAAGACAAAGGTTGAATTTCCAAGAGAGAAAATATTTTCCCAAGTATAACTAAAATGCAAAGAGGGAAAATGAGGAAAATAAGGAAAGTATATGAACAGATGGTAAAGGGCAGAACCAATGGTTAATAAACTTGTGGGGGAAAACCCTCAATTCACATTAAATAAAATATTGTGGTATTGTTTTAAATTTGTGAGATTAGAAAGCTGGACAGTACTCAGTATTGATGATGACATGGGGAAGCAGACAAGGTAATGGGGAGAACCACTGTTGACAGCATTTTGGCTGTAGCTAAAAAAAAAATTGAATGCATATGCCCTGAACCAGCTACTCCATTTTTCTCCCATCTGCAAAAAAATTGACTGATTGCATAAGGATTGTCTTTACAGAATTGTTTGGTTTGTAAAATACTGGAACCTGCACAAACATGCTTTAGTAGGGGACAAGTTAATTAAAATAAGTTGCGGGTCACCAATAGGATACTATTCAGCTTCCAAAAAGAATGTGTTTGCGACATACAGTCATTCATGGCTTCATTATGTTTCAGTCAATGGTGATGGATGATACAATGGTGGTCCCAATAGGCTATCATCAGGCCTGGGATGTACCCTCTAAGTGTATGTGGTTACACACTGTGACATTCACACAACAATGAAATCACCTAACAATTCACTTCTCAGAACATAACCCCACAGTTACTGACGCTTGGCTGTATATTCTAATATAGAATGTCTAAGACTCCATTTATCCAGTACTTGTTTATTGAGTGTCCATTCTGTGCCAGGCTCCCTTCCAGGTTCCAAGATAAAGGGAACAAAATAAAGTTTCCCAGGCTCATGGAGTTACTTTTTTTTTTTTTCTTAAAGATTTTTTAATGCATGCATGCAAGACTGGGGTATAGGCCAGAGGCACAGGGGGTGAGAGGATTCACCAGAGACAGATTGGGGAACAGAACAGGCAGATCGACAGAAATATACTGCTGAGGGGAACAGCGGGCTAGGCAGGGGAGGTCTGCTGTGCCATGTGGGTTGCTCCCTGGCTGACTGGGGATCAAACTCGTGCTGCAGTATATGTGGATAGCTTCATAGGTTGCGTCTTAACCCCTCATGCCACCAGGGAGGCCCCTCCTGGAGTTACTTTTTATTTATTTATTTATTTGTTTTTAAAGGTCCATCTATTTATGCATACAAGAACTGGGGTACAGGCCAGAGGTGTGGGGTTGTGAGAGGATTCACCAGAGACAGAGTAGGGAACAGAACAGGCAGACTGACTGAAACACACTGCTGAGGGGAGCAGTGGGAGAGGCAGGAGTGGTCTACTGCACCACATAGGTAGCTCCCTGGCTGGTGGGGAATCAAACTCGTGCTGCAGAGATTGCGGATAGTTTCATAGTGCGGTGCTCAACCCCTTGGGCCACTTTTTAGAGGTAAAGTTACATTTTGGAGGGAGTTACTTTTTAGAAGGAAAGATGGATGGGAAGTAAGCCAAGAAATGAATACAGAATATGAGGGAAAAATGAATCAGGTTATGGATAATGGAGAGTGATCAAGAAATCATTGCTGTAGTTTTGAGTCTCATATCTGCATATCACTGGGCATTAATTCTAGGGAAATGAAAACTTATGTTCACACAAAAATCTGCACAAAGCATTATTCGTGATAGCCAAGCCTGGAGTCAACCCAAGTGCCCTTCAGTGGTGAATGGTTAAACAAATTGGCACATTCGTATCATGCACTACTTCTCAGCAATAAAAGGGAAGAAACTTGAAATGCACAACTTGGATCTCAAAGGAATTATGCTGAGTGAAAAAAGTCAATCTCAAAAGGTTACACTGTGTATTTCATTCACAACATCCTTGAAATAACAAATTATAAGTGTAAAGAACAAAGCAGTGATTGTAACAGTGTGGGGGAGGGGAGGAAAGAAAGTGTCTGTGATGGTGAAAAGTAGCCTGTGGTGGAACAATCAGAGTGTAGACAATGGTGTTGGTCACACATGGGACCTACCCAAAAGGTAAAACTGTACAGAACTAAACACACACACACACACATTGATGCATATAAAAATGAGTAAAACTGAACAAGGCTGCTGAGCAATGTCAGTTTCTTATTTGTGATTTGTGTTGTCCTTAGGAAGATATTAGCATTCAAGGAGATTGGGTAAAGGATACACTAAATCTCTTCTTCTTTTTTTTTTTTTATAACGCTATGTAAATCTACAATAACCTCAAAATAAAAAGTTTAAAACAATTTTCTGCAGGTCACAACATCCTTGTCTTTTGCCAGCTAGTAAAGCCCTATTTTTTGTTCTTACTTGGAGGCTTACCTTGGACAGAGGAATGCGTGCGCTACT